TTTTTTAATCACTAAGATTTAAAGATAAGCTATTGAACTCAAAAGTCTCCAGTTCAATTTATATCTTATAATTTAATATAATATAAAGTGCAAAAACACATTTTTGATATTTACCAATTGGCTTTACAAAAATGTTTTTTTTTTTTTCCTACATAATTATTGGAGTGGCTGAGAACAGTGTATCTTCATTGAGGTGAATACAACGGTCACTGCAGCGTGGTCTGAGAGAGAATAGTTTTCCGGCCACATTCCTTTCTCTGCTTCTCGGGGGAAGATGGTGGCGTTCTTCACTGCAAAACCCACGGTTTCTTCTTCGATGCTTTCTTCAGAGTCCTCTGGATCAAGGTTCTCTTCTGTTTGTTCTGACCATGTTGAGTTCCATATCCTCTGCACAAAAACATCAACAGTTAAAAGACTCTGTCTAACTCTCGAAATGAGTTGTTGAGGATGTGAGTTTACGCGACACAAGTGAAGAACAGAAAGATAAGGTGTGATACAAACCTTAAATTCATCATAGTCGAGAACACCATTTCCATCAATGTCTGCTTGCGTCCATAGATCCTTGGTCTGCTGGAAACTTAGTCCATAAGAAAGACCAGTTAAATTTACCTGTTGAACGTTAAATTTAGTATCTTAGCATCTCACTAATGAAATTATACCCGGTGTAGCAAAGAAGATGGGTTCAAGTACCTGCCGAAGTGCCTCACAGAAAGCTGAGTAAGTAATGAAATCGTCATGATTATCAGCTTTAAGAAAGGCAAAGGCATCATTCTCAGCCAACAAGGCCTTCTGGAGTTGATTCTGAAACCAAGTAAAAGAAATCAAGCGTTAGAGAAGGAAGCACAAAGTGGGTGATATTAGTGCTCCTTAACGAAGACATCCAAGTGCATAGGCAAAACAGAAGAGTAAAAGGTGTTTAAAATAGATTCAAGAATTTTCACATAATGAACTTCCATCACAACTACAATTTTTTCATGCTTGATTATATGCCTTACACTCTTCTCCTTTTGAGAGTTACTGGACAAACTACAAATCTTTCTATTTTGTCTCTTGAAGTATGATTCAGTAAAAGGATTTGAACAAACAACCTAAAAGAACCACTAACATAAATTTGGTATATAAGCAACTTACAGATAAAAAGAAAAAATTGTGAACTCACCTTTATGATACCAAACACTGCTGCAGTCCAGCTTGTCTTCAACGATTTCCTTGACTTATTAGGATTACGCAGCCATATGAAATCAACGCCACAGATGTTCCCCCTATGATTTCGGTGGCTAACCCACTGGAATAAAGAAGAGACAAAAGTAAGCACCACAAATTCAAACATTATTGTGGCATAGTGACATACAGACATTACACCCAATATAGAAGATACCAACCTTGTGAGCATCTGCATCACTGTCAGTATACTGATGAGCAATGTCATATGATGATACAAATCCCTGGGACCTTAAAAATTTGTAAACATGCCCACGCTTGCTTCCATTCCAGTCCCTGCAAAGATAATAACATAAAACATTAGATAAATGAGAATGTCCCTTCGCAGCAAGGCAAGTCATCAAACTGAAAAAAGGAAACACGAGTCTTACCCACAGAGTATGACAGGTACATGGTCAAGTTGGTTCTCTCTTTGATATATTTCAAGATACTGTAGTATTTTATAAACCTAAATAGGAATGTGAAAAAGTAGAGGTAAGAACTAATAGCTAGCCTAGCAAAGAAAGACCAGTGTAGTGCTTAATTTATAGATGAAAACTTATCTACCTGATGCAGTCTTACTACAGACAAACTGGAATCATGAGGAAATAAGAGGTGTGTGTTCACAATAAGAATTTCTTGTTTAATCTCCCCCTTTCTGCTCTGTGGAAAAGGGAGAACTGACTGAACATGTAACAATTGCGCAACTCTGTCTCCAAAGTCATTGAAGAGTAACTCGCTATAATTTAGAACCCTAAGGTAGTCCTTGTGTATAGCTGTTAACAAACCTGTACAAAGATTAAAGTATAAGTTCTCTAGCCCAAGAGGACATGACAAAAGATGGAGCTGAATCAGATATCCCACATAATGACCGTATAGAGCTAGAGCATAAAAAATATGACCACATGAGCTAGTTATCCTCATCTTTGGCAGCTTTTAAGGATTAAAGCTGCAAATTTTCTTCCTTTTAACTATAGAACCTTCAGGTTTTCTCTTAAATTATACTTAAACACAGTGAATCCAACCAATAAACAACTCATTCCACTCTTGAACAGGCCTGAAAACACTTATACTGGTCTTTCCAACAATATATGTATCAAACTCATTATATGAGAGAAAAGTAAAGAATTACCATCTCCTCGGTTGTTTGTTCTTGCTAGCTTGAAGGTATCATAGCCGGCATCACCTAGCCTCTCCTGGTACTTATGCACCAGTTCTTCATTTCCAACCCAAAACTCCTATTGAATATTAAAAATAAAAATGCTAATTCAAAATGGGAAATAAATAATTTTGTCAACGGATATGAAAAGGTCCATCATTTATGATATTGTAAACAGCTAAAAGGTCAAACAATGAGAGCAAGAGCAAAAGGTGCAAGAAAATCACCTGGAGACATATAATGGAAGATCTTTCATATAGCAACCAATCCAAAATCTTCTGATTCCTTGATTGCCAAAATGCTCTAAAACCACTCTCACGAATGCTCTGATTCTGTATCATAAACCCAAAAAAGCAGCAAAATTTACAAATCAAAAGACACAAAATCAAAATTCACCCACTAAAATAAGGGACTGAAAGCAGAACAGAAGGAGTAAAACCTCTTTATCCAGTCGCTTGTAAATAGGAGCAAGGATGTTGAAAGTGGTGCAGGAAATACAAGGATCCCCCATTGTGGAAGCCACACACCCACTATTGCTCCTCGAAATCGTGTCTTGAGAAGCAGGAAGAGTCTCCTTCTGGCTTGAATTGGAACCGTCAACGTCAGGGTATTCCACCACCATCAACTGTTTCAACCAAAACCCCACCAGCAAAAACATCAAACACCAAAACAAAGACAAATCCATATCTGAAACACACCCATGAAAGAAAATTCGAATACCCTTCCAAAGTGTTCTCGACTTTGAACAGAAACGGGAGGGAAAACAGGAAAAGCGAAGCAGATTTAGATCTGGAAAGTGGAAAGGGAAGTCTTGATTTTTGTTTGCGTCGGCGAGAAATGTTATGCAGCAAAATGCCACATGGGTTGAGGATTTGGTATATAGAATTATAGACACGGGGAGGATACACCACGTTATTAGGCTTGTGTTTGCCAGGTGTCTTGTATTTATAAAGCAACAACTAGCTCCCTTGGGTTTTACAGCTAAGTAGCCTTATGTGGTATTTTTTTATTGTGATTTATTGATGGTTATTACGATTTAAAAGGACTGCTGGTGAAATGCAGCTCGATGATTGATTAAATTTGATAAAAAAATAAGATATTAATTTTTAATTCTTAATTCTTAAACATTATTCTTGTAAAAAAAAAAAAAAACCTTATGTGGGGTATACCCCAGTCCTTAATCATTGGCAGGAATTAAGATTATACTAGATATATTCAATTTTAGTTTTTTAATTTTTACAATATTAATTTAATATGAAAACTAATAGTATATAAATAGTATTTTGAAATTTTTTTAATTAAATAAAATTAATAAACAATAATAACACATAGAGAAAATAAATTTTTTCATCAATTATATATATTGTTAATTTTATCTAAAATTAATTACAAAAAACCTCACTGAGTCAATTAAAATTCACACAAAGGGAGTATGTATCATTTGCATGCAAACAATCTACTCAAGAACACTCTTACAAAAAATGGTTATTCACTCTCTTTAAAATTCCTTCTTAGTGCTCTCATTATTGTGTTCGACTTTGCTACTTGTACTATTATTTTATTCCTGAAAGAAGATTCAAAAGTTCAAACCCTGCACACCACATCAGAGCACGAACACTTTATCTACTAGGGGGTGGGCATCGGTTGATTTGGTCACAAACAATATAAAGGCGGCATAAGTTAGGAAAATCCAAATTAACAGTTAAAATGTGTAAATTATGAGTATTGAGATGGCACTCCTATTTTTAATAATGAGTCAAATACTAATTTCTACTTCTTCCTAACTAACTGCTTATCCTTTTATAAAAAGGATAATATATTTTTCTTTTTCCTTTCTTGAACAACTCTTCTTTCGAGACGGCGAAAAGAAAAAAAAAAAAAACTTTTCTTCCTTTTTTTAAGCGCATATTTAGCACGAAAATTTCTCAATTTTGTTAGTTAAAGAATTAAATTATTGTTAATATGTACTTGTGAGTGTAAAGTTTAGCATGTGATTCGCACTTCTGGACTAATTAAATTTAGTAGTTGCAGACTTTTAATGCTCTAACTACCATTGGGGAAAAAATGTATTTTTCTTTTTTGAACAAGTTGTCTAGGGTAAGGAAAAATGCACTTTGTGTTGGTAGGTTACCAATTGATTCAAAGGATTAGGTGAAGTAAAGAATGTATTAAATTAAATGAAAATCAAGAAAAATATCGACATGAAAGGGGGATATCAGTTTATAAGAAAAATGATATTATCGAACATTGGTTTTTAATGATTGGGTCGTGTTAAGTAAATAAAGTTAAAGTTTATTCAATTTTACAATTCCAACTATTATGTCAAATTACAAAAATAGTTTTTTGTTTAAACAAAAAAATATAATATAATTTAAATTGTATTAAATTATATATATTTTTTTTTTGTTTCTCGCCTGGTATCGTGGTTTCGTCTCGACTAATCTAGAGTCGATTCGCGTCGCGCACTTGGAAATGGTAGATGAATTTTTCAGCGAGGGTTGTTGCGTACACAAGGTCTTGAATTCAAGACTTTTTTTGAGTTGAAACAAGTCGCTTACTACTTAATCCAACCATTGGTTAGTATTAAATTATATTATATTAAATTTAATGAAATTAGACTTTAATATTAAGATTTTATTTAATAATTAATAATTTATAATTTAATATAATTAATAAGTTTTTTATTAATAATTTAATGATTTAAATAAAAATTATTTAATTTTTTAATAAAATATTAAATTTAAATTTCACAAATGAAAAAATAAAAGTTGAAAGAATGTTTTTCATAAAATCTAATTTAAATTGATTTTAAATTAACTAAAGAATAATATGGCACTGAAAGTTAATTAAAAAAAAAAAAAACATCTTTCGTTGGATATGCTCCAGAGCAATCCGGCGGAGATATTTGGAAAGGTACTCGGCGCAAGTATACTTTCCTAGTTGTGGTGTTATTGACATAATTTTTTTTTTTTTAATTTCTTTTATAATTTTTATATATTATTTAAAAAATAAATATATTTAATATTATAAATTTCACATAAAATAAAAAAATTAATCAATTTAATAATATATCAAATTATATAAAAAAAAAAATCAAAATATTTATCCCATAGCATTTCTCCTTTCCTGCTGGACACCTGACGTATCATTTAACCCTTTTGCCTGATATACCGCCACGTGTCAGACAGAAGCAGCAAAAATTACCGACTGATTTGCGGGCCCTTTTTAAGATCTCGGAAAGATACTGTGTCGGAACAACGCGCATTTGCAGCTGCGTGTTCGCGTCGGTGCTTATCTGTCCCAACATGCTTCCCCACCATCACTGTCTCATCCGCCACCTAAGCGGATGCCTGCCGGCTGCCGCCAACCTGCCCCTCGGGCCACTCCATTCCGCCGTCACCCCATTCTAATCTTCTCTTTTTATCAGCTTTTCCTTTTTATGTTCAGAACGTTATAAGTTGTATTTTTTGGACGTCGGAAAGTTAGTTGCCTGTTGTAGAGATTTGACCCAAAAAGTTATACAAAATGAATATTATCTTGCTGACTGATCATATAGGTTGATTTCAGCTTCATTTTCAGAATCAATCAATTTCTTAGACGTGAAAAAAAAGAATGTTTTATAGTCAAGACAGTATTAAGTTGCTATAAAATACAATCTCTTGATTTTTTTATAGTACAAAGTCAATAACCATTCAATTAAGCGTATATTAGTAAAATAAAATTTAAATCAAGTGTCTCAAATTCAATAAGATAATTTAAAAAACCTACAAGTATGTAACTCTTATTGATGCTCTCCAATGATTTCTTACATAAAAACATTGAAATGATACAAATTGATTAATTCAATTCTCTGAAAAATAATTTTGACCCAAGGATGCTGCCCTTTTCCAGTTGAGGAAGATTGTTTAATGGTTAGAGTTGTGATCTTCCATTACAATCCTCACTTTCTTCAGTTGCCTGAGGCTAGTTCAGCACAGGTTGCTCTGTCTCACTTCTTGCTTTACCCCACAAGAGGACATACAAACCAATTACAACTAGGACAGATCCAAAAACACTGTTAATTTCCAACAAAGGATGTTAGGAAAATGAAACATAAAAACATTGGAAATGAATAATATTGGTAAAGATCCAAAGGAAAGAACCTTCCAAGGTAAATCTGTGCATGCAGAATGGAGAAGTCAAAAATGGCTATAAAAATTTGAAGCGAGGGATTAAATGCAGCTGTGAAGACAGGTCCTTTTTGTTTCACACACCATGACATTCCCACAAAGCACAAACCTGATGCCACCGTTCCCTATTTCCATAAAAAAATACAACGGGTTAAGACCTATTACACTTATAAGCTTAAGGTATTGTTTGGATTAGCTGTTCAAAAGTAAATGATACTTGAAAACTGATATCCAAATACTTCTATTCATCCAACTAGAGATTAAAAACTGATAACTCTTCCCTAACATCTAAAACAAGCAGGCCATAACATTTTAGGTAATGACTCAACAAGAGTATGTCACTCAAAAACTTGGACTATTATGTGGGAGCTCAAAATCAGTATTAATCTCCTCAGAATTGAAAAGGGGCCAAGCAGAATAACGATTTGACGAGACTTTCATTTTAAATTTAGATGACTTACAGCATCTGTCACAGTAAATATTTCCAAGTTTCCCTTCAAAACCCATTTGGAAAAGTCCCTCTCCACGATCAAGCTAAAAATAGCTGACTGAATGGCAGCGAAGAAGGACATTAAAGCTGTGCTAGAATATTGACATGGATACTTCTTACCAATCCTCCCCTGCACAAGGAACCAAGATGACAACATAACGCTGCTTGCAGTCAAAAATACCGAGCCAATGGTCCATTTCTTAGTCTTCTTGGTCGAATCCATCATATTCCCCTGATTTCCCATCGCAGCTGTGGCTCCTCGATATGGTCTGGTTAAGGGCATTCCTTTGTAAAGGGTCAATATCATGGCTCCAGCTACGCAAATCAGTGTACCAAGAATCTTAGCCCTCCCAGCATCAGTTTTGATATTCACTTTCTCAAGGCTGGAAGATGTTTAACACTGATAAGCTCACTAGCAAAACTCAATCCACAGAGCTGCAATTGGGCTTTGAAAGCCTACCCAAATGGTAGCGCGAGCATGAAGGTGACTGCAGGCACCATTGTAATGAATGCACATGAGAAAGTAGATGATGTATATCCAAGTCCAACAAGGAATTAGTATGCATCAAACTTGCCCTGGAAAACATCATCCATGATTCCAAGGGTTCTACAAAATCATTAGAATTCAAGTGAAAAAAAAGAAGAAGCATATCTAACTCATATCTAACCCAAGAAGAGAACTGATGAAGAGATGGCATAGGATGCTGGTAGTAAGGTTGGGTCTACTTTTCCTGCAAGAAAACAAGCAAATTTTAGTAAGTACAACTTGTTCAAAATTCTGAAATGGAATATGATAAGAAAAAGAGACTTCTTTCAAAATGTTAAAGTTAAATAGCTGTTTTACCTTTCGCAGAAGTAGGCAAGTGGTGCCAAGAAGACACAAGAAATTGCCTGCCGGTTTGTTACAACAATTATATGGCTTACTTCTTTGTCAAGAATCATCTTGATAAGCACATTTACTGTCGCAAATACAAAATTTACAGCCACTATGACCACAACAGGCCCCCACAGTCCAGGGGAGTTCATGTTTCAGTGAATGCCATCAATCAACCAAAACTTAGTCAAGATAATACTCGCTTATTTAAAAATTTTAATTTAAAGTTAAAATTAAAGTTTTAAACCTCAAAAATGTTAAATAGTTAACAATCTGATATACCTAAAAAAAAAAAAGCTATCAAGAGATCTGATGCTTATTTTCTTATTCTGCTAAGAAATTTGAGAACGTTGGTATAAAGGATTGGGAGAATGTTGTTACATTTTGGGAATAGCCTTGTTTCCTTAAACTTCTCCTTTTTTCATGTTAACCTATAAATACTTTAAAACTTTCTGGGACTTAAAGTATAATTTCGTTGTTCTTGAAGGGTCAAACTGAAGTTTAAGGAATGAACGGATTATATGAAATTGAATATGAAGCTAAGAACAACAGTCATTGCCAGTCGGGATGCTGTGATACACTTCGCCGCCGCATTTGGACACTGCCGGTGGTTCAGATTCCCTCTGAATCTGGTACAGTAGATTCGCTTCCCACCTCCGCAATGCAAGGCACCATGGAAGAACGACCTTATCTTCATCCTCCGTTCTCCTCAAAAACCCATCAGCCCACCTGGGCAATTTCCTCCTTGTCGCTTCTATCACCAGAACCCTATCAGAAAATCTCGATCCCAATTCCATCGTCAACCAGATTCTCTGCAGAAACTCCCTCGATCCCTCCAAAAAGCTGGACTTCTTTAGATGGTGTTGTTTTCTCAGACAAAAATTCAAACACACTGCAGACACTTACTCTCTCATGTTTCGTACCCTCTGGCCTCTGCCTCGCTGGATTCTTTGAGAAAGTCCCCACTTTGTTGGGTTCGATGAAGGAAGATGGTGCTTTCATTGGCCCTGAGACTTCCAAGTTCTTCTTGATGCGTTTACTCGCTCTAGTAAGTTTGATTCTGCGCCAATGCTGTCACTTACCGCATTGTTGACGCTATCTCTGTTTTGTGACCTGAAGAAGAAGGGACAGTTTGTGGATGCCATCACTTACAGCTTTGTTGCGTAGCAGCTCTGTAAAGAGGGTTTGCTTGGGGAAGCACTACTGTTTGTGGAAGAGATGGAAGCCAGAGCCTTTGTTGTAGATTTGGTTACCATAGCATCATAAGGAAAGTGGGAATGGGCAGAGCGGTTCATGAAGCACCTTAGGGAAGAAAGTAATCTCATGCTTCTCAAGTGAATATGTAAGCTTCATTGAAAAATTCACGTTAAAAAAAGGATTACTGCAATGTTTGCAAATTGCCACGAAAGGAAACTTCAGTGATATAATGAAATTAAGTTGGCTCTGATGACCAAGCAATATACACCATCCTTGGTTACACGAGGATAATAGAAATGATCAACTAACACTGATCAGTGGCCATCATCCCATATTTGGGTCAATTGGCAAATCAAATGAAGCCAAGGGATAAATCTGCTCAGTTGTTTTCTCTAAATTGTGGAGAGAGAGTTCAAACGAAGGGATTCACTTCATTTGATGTTGATGTGGTGACTATGCTTCTTGTCCATTTTCTTATTCATGGGAAAACAGAACTTAGCCTGCAACTTGTTTGATATATTCAGCAATGTGAATTCTGTAAACTACACTTACAATTACAATTCCATTATGACAATCCCATTATGAGTTACTTTGTGAAGAAGGGCTATCTCAACGAAGCATGGGGTGATTTTTATGAAATGAAGGAGAAGATTTGCCTGGCACACAGTTAGCTAGCTCTGTTCTGTTATTATTAATGCAATAATATTGAATCAGGATTTGGCTTAAATGGAGAGATGAACAATCAATCTGTAAAGAAGTGCATTAAGTCAAAGAGTTTCCTTTACAATGATAATAAGAAAGCATATATCGTACAACCAGAATCTCAACCGGTGAAATACAACTCTCTTCAATCTTCAACAATCAAAAGAGACCGCAAAACAAAGAGAAACCAAGCAAGATCAGCCAAACAATATGAACCAAAAGCAAAGCCTGACCAGGTAAAGAAGCGCTGCCGCCGCTGCCAACCTGACAAAACCCTAATTTGGCAACTGGAGTACCGGCGCAAATAGCATCGGCACAACCGCACCAATAGGTAACCCCATCGACACCGCAGACAGGCACCGTTCTAAAGCAGCTAACCGGACACGACGCCGGCTTTGCAACTCCTGCGCAGACGCCTTCACCGTCACCGACATCGACATCCGTCGGTAACTGAATAACTCCTGAAAAATCCGACTCGGATCCCGCCACCGGAGAGCAGAAAAAGAAGAAGGAGAGGGTAATGGCCATGATGCAGAGGGGAATCGGTGCGAAACAGCGCATAGGTGCTACAATTGAAAGATCTCAGGCGGGAAATCTGAACCCTAATCCTAATCCGTATAACAATGCGAATGGTAAAGAAAAAATTTCAGGAATCAAAGGGGAATTGGAGAATGTGGCATGAGAATTCGATGAATGACGGAGCATAGAAGGAAGAATCGGGTGCAAAGTTGTTGCCGGAGACTTCTCCAAGGCTGCCAACTCCCGATAACCGTTCTCCAACCGGTTCTAGACTATATATATAGTCAATATTAAAATGCTGTGAGTAATGGTAGGGGGAAGAAAAATTTAGGGTGAAAATTTGAATTAGATGTATGTTACGAATTATTAAATTAATTTAATTGATATATCTAGATATATAAAATATCATAAATTTTAAAAAATAAAATAAATAATTATTATATAATATAAAATTTATTTTTTAATATTTAAAATAATATAATTTATATTTATTATAAAATCCTTAAATTATAATTTTAAATTTTTTTCTCATTTATCATTATATATATATTCATAAATAATTTTGTTTATTTTTATTGTTTTTTAACTTGCTGACCCATGTCGGCCCTTTCTAGATGGTAAGGTCCAAAATTCTGTTGATAAGTCCAAGCCCAGTTAGACAAAAGTTGGGTTGGGTAACCCAATTGCCGTTTCGTAGCTTTCTCCTTTCTTTATTTATATATTTTTTTTTTTAAAAAATAATTAATGTTAGACTTGTTTGACCGATATATGAACCTTGCAAGGAAATTTTTACAACATTAAAATACATACATTAAATAAAACCAGACAACTCGAATATTATAGCTAATAGAGAAAGAATTTATAGTGATTCTTTTGTTTGCAATAATTTTTTTATTAAAAATATGTGTGTTAATTTAATTGATTAAAAAGTGCACAATTCAAATTAATTTAATTTTTTTATTAAAATTATAAGTTATTAAAAAAAATCATTTTCCAAAAGAGTAATGATGCAACGGACAAAAATGAAGAACGACAAGTTATGTAAGGAAGTTAAATTGATAATTACACTATATACATAAATCTTAAATCATTTGTCATCCTCATTTTCGTGCGCTGAAACTTTTTGTGAAAACATACAACGCTTTTTTTTTTTTTTGGGTTTTTGTAAAATGCAGAAGTCAGACAATTTTCATGGCTAATGCAGCAAGAATGTGCACGATTTCTTACACTAAATCACTGATCTATTTCACCATGGATGAACAACAACCATGCTTCTTTCAACTAAAGAACAGATTACATGCAAAAGTTCTGGATATATCTAGAGAGGAAAACAGAGTAAAAGGGGGATGATGCAGCTAACATTTTACCTTCAGATTTCAAAACTAATGAGAAAAAACCATATCAAGTACTATTGTATTTCACTACTATTGCTGACGACCTGAACCAAGGAATCCACACTGAAGTTGTCTTCTTATACAATCTATATTCTTCGGCTCTGTAATTCTGCTCCAACATCCTCCGTTCCACCAGCAGAGGCCTTGTTTGACCTCTATATGAACCTTGCAAGGAAATGTTTACAACATTAAAATACATTACTTAGATCCAGACAACTCGAATATTATAGCTAATAGAGAGAATTTGTAGTCATTCTTTTGCTTGGGCTCTGTAATCCCAAACGCAAATTAAGACAGTAGTGACTGCTACGAAATATGGGGTCCCTTGATTTTGGTAGACTGCAAAATTAATAATCACACAACTAAACTTTTATTATAAAATAAATTTTAAATTAGAGATCTCAAATTGAATAAAATAATTCAAAAAATAACACTTGTACTCATGCCCTCCAATGATTTCTTGCATAAAAATCTTGAAATGCTACCAATTGATTAATTTAGTACTCCGAAAACTACTTTTGACCTGAGAGTACTGTCCTTTTCCAATTAAGGAAGATTGTTTAATGGTTAGAGTTGTGATCTTCCATTACAATCCTCAGTTTCTTCTGTTGTTTGAGGCTGGTTCAGCACAGGTTGCTCTGTCTCACTTCTTGCTTTACCCCACAAGAGGACATACAGACCAATTACAATCAGGACACATCCCAAAACACTGTTGATTTCCAACAAAGGATGTTAGGAAAAATGAAACATAAAAGCATTAGACATGAATAATATTGGTAAATATCCAAAGGAAGGAACCTTCCAAAGTAAATCTGTGCATGCAGAATGGAGAAGTCAAAAATGGCTACAAAAATCTGAACTGTGGGATTAAATGCTGCTGTGAAGAGAGGTCCTTTTTGTTTCACACACCATGAGATTCCTACAAAGCACAAACCAGTTGCCACGATTCCCTGTTTCCATAAAAAAATAGAACGGTTAAGAACTATTACACCTACAAGCTTAAGGTATTGCTTAGATTAACCGTTCAAAAGTAGATTATAGTTGATAACCGATATCCTAATACTTCTATTTGTCCAAGTAGAGATTAACAACTGATAACTCTTCCTTAACGTCTAAAACAAACAGAGCATATACTTGTAGGTAATGACTCAACAGCACCATGCCACTCGAAAACTTAGACTATTAGGCGGAGGCACAAAATCAGTATGACTCTCCTCTGAATTGAAAAAAGGGCCAAACAGAATAATGATGAGTTGAGACTTCATTTTAAATTTAGATGACTTACAGCATATGTCACGGTGAATATTTCCAACTTTCCCTTTAGAACCCAGTTGGAAAAGTCTCTCTCAATGATCAAGCTTAAAATAGATGACTGAAAGGTGGCGAAGAAGGACATAAAAGCCGTGCTAGAATATGGGCATGGATACATCTTGCCAATCCTGGCTTGCAAAAGGTACCAACATGAGAGCACAATGCTGCTTGCAGTCAGAACTAGCGAGCCAAAGGTCAAGTTCTTAGTCTTCTTGGTCGAATCCATCATATTCCCCTGGTTTCCCTTGGCAGCAGTGGCTCCTCGATATGGTCTGCCTAAGGGCATTCCTTTGTAAAACGTCAGTATCATGGCTCCAGCTACAGTAATCAGTGTACCAATAATCTTAGCCCTCCCAGCATTGGTTTTGATATTCAATTTCTCAAGGCTGCAAGATATTTAACATTGATAAGCTCACCAGTAAAACTCAATCCATAGAGCAGCAATCGGGGTTTGAAAGCCTACCCAAATGGTAGTGAGAGCATGAAGGTGATTGCAGGCACCATATTAGTGAATGCACATGAGAAAGTAGCTGATGTATATCCAAGTCCAACAAGGAATGTGTATTGAAGCAAAGTTGCCCTGGAAAACATCATCTATTATTCCAGGGGTTCTACAAAATCATCAAAATTCAGGTGAAAAAAATAAAAAGGCATATCTAATTCATATCTAACCCGAGAAGAGCACTGAGGAAGAGATGGCATAGGATGCTGGAAGTAAGGTTGGGTCTACTTCTCCTGCAAGAAAACAAGCAAATTTTAGTAAGTATAACTCGTTCAAAATTCTGAAATGGTATATTATAAGAAAAAGAGACTTCTTTCAAAATGTTAAAGTTAAATAGCTGTTTTACCTTTCCCAGAAGTAGGCAAGTGGTGCCAAGAAGACGCAAGAAATTGCCTGCCGGTATGTTACAACAATCAAAGGGCTTACTCCTTTGTCAAGAATCTTCTTGTTAAGCACATTTACTATAGCAAATGCAAAATATACAACCACAATCACCACAACAGGCTTCCACAGTCCAGGGGAGTTCATGTTTCAGTGAATGCCTGAGACTCTACAATTCTGCAACAGATGTTCTTTCAACTCTTTCTTCCCTGAAATTCTATGGTTCAGAGACACCATGCAGCCTCCTGCATCAGTATTTCTATTTATGGTGCAAACATCCTTCAAATTCTATAAAGGGAATATGAATATCTAACAGGTTTCAATCACATCAATTGTTTTTGGGCAATCAACTTTGTCGATTATTATTCTTCTCAGTTCTTCCATAACTTTTTCTAACAGTAGTTTAAAGATCAGATAAGCCAATGACAATTTAATTAAGCTCATATCACTAGTATCATCAATGAGTTCATCTCTTCAAAGTGGAATTTCTTTTCCACCATCAATACATATAACTGGATCATATTCATATACTAAAGCCTTTAATTAAGATGCTAATTATATCATTTAAAGAATCAAAAGCATCTGTATAAGTTTCCTGTAATTCGACAGGAAATTGAGCATCTAGTCTTTTAGGCTTAGCATCTAATACTTCAACGAGGGATCGGCTACGTAATTCAATTAATGGGAGTTTTGAGAACAATATGTTAAGTCAATACATTTAACAATAAAGGAACAGACAAAAAGCCATCAACAAATCTGATGCTTATTTTCTTATAGTTAAATGCCAACATTATTGCTTAATTTTCAATTTCGAATATTTTTAGACCTTGAATTATTTTTTGAATTATTTTATGTATTTTTTGGCCCATAAATTATAAAAAATATATACTTTTTTAATTATCCTGTACGTACATCTAAACATATACATTTCTAATCTCTTAACTTATAATACATGGACATTTTATCCCTAAATTAATAAGTTTTGAGATAAAATGTCCATACGAATAAATTTAGTGGACTAACTTTTAGAATAATTAAACAAGTGCATTTTTTACATTTCATTTTTTACATTTTAGGGACTAAAAATGTGCAAAAATAGTTCATATACTAAAAATATTCAAAATTTAAAGTCTAGAAATTTAAAATTGATATTGACCCTTTTCTTATTCTGCTGAAAAATTTGAGAACCTTGGTATAAAGGATGTTGGGAGAATGTTATTACCTTTTGGTAATAGCCTTGTCAACTAAATCAAGCTAGGGTTATTCTAAAAATCCTTTAAGCTTTTTGGCAGTTCTTGGAGGGTCAAATTGAAGTTTAAGGAATGAATGGCGCATATGAAGTTGAATAAGATCAACAGTCATTGCCAGTCGGGATGCTTTGATACACTTCGCCGCCGCAGTTGAATCTGGTACCGTGGTACGGTAGATTTACTTTCTACCTCCACAATGCAATGCGCCATGGAAGAACCACCTATATATCTTCATCCTCCTCCGTTCTCCTCAAAGATCCATATATCGGCCACCATATTCCATATATGTACATTACGTGGAGTAAAACTTTGTAAGTATTGGAGCCCGTAGTGCTCTTGAGCGTTCATGGTGGGACTGCGTGGTAAAAAGCTTAACTACCAAGAGCATCTGCAATAGAGCTACCTATTCTGCGCTTATGCAGTAAGCAACTCAAAGAATCATTCTGCTGATGTAGTTTTTTTTTTTTTTTTTTTTAATTGACAAGATGGAGATATATGCTTGAAATCAATTCGACTCGACTTATGATTCACTTAAAGTCAACATATATATATATATATATACAGAAAAGTGCGGGTCAGTCCCACCTCCAAAATAAAAATTGGAGTCCCAATCAAACGACGTCGTTTATCTCCCAAAATACCCAGCCTGCTGTTCGTCTTTTCTCTCAAAAATCCCCAGCTCCTATTCCTCACTCCTCCAATTCCTTCAATTTTCCACTCAAAAATCCAGCCACTGCTGCCGCCCCCCTCTGCAATCATCTCCATCTCCTTCTTCACCCCTTTTGCAATCGTCTCACGTTGCCGACCCAACTCTACCATTGCAATTCATCATCTCCGATAAGTGCTTTGTTGGATCTCTTCTTTTTCTTTTTTTTAGTTTTCAATGTAAATTTCTCAAGATGAAATTGATGGGAACAACTGCGATTCCTTCAATTTTTCACTCAAAAACCCAGTACTTGCTGTCAGCCCCTCTGCAATCATCTCCATCTCCTTTTTCATAAATCAGAAACGAAATTCATTGAAGAGAAAATATTTACTTTTTTTATTCTTGTTTCTATTTTATTGCTTCTCTATTTTGTTGCATAAAGCGAAGCAGTT